CTTCTTCTTCTTCTTCTTCTTCTTCTTCTTCTTCTTCTTCTTCTTCTCCTCCTCCTCCTCCTCCTCCTCCTCCTCCTCCTCCTCCTCCTCCCCCTCCACCTCCGCTTCCTGTAGATCTTTCTTGGTCTACAATTTCCAAACATCTGTATAATTTCCTAGTATTTCAAAAAAAGGGACAAACAATTGAAAACTAAAAGGAATGGGCTTAATATAGGTAAGCATTTATTTATTTTTTAAAAAAAGATACTTGGTTATCACCAACCCATTCATTTATTAGAACTCTGGAGCTCAAGGTGGCATACACAATGATGCCTTGAGCTATTTTTTTCTCAACAACATTGGGAGGTGAGGCTGGACTCAAGGTCACCTAGTAACTCACTCTGTGGCTAAGGATAGATTAGAACCTGGGTCTCCCCATTACCAATATGTCATATTAATTGCTGCACCACCATGATGTGACCTAGTGGTTAAGGCATCAGGCTGGGAACCAGGAGACTGAGTGCTTGGCATAGAAGCCAGATAAGTGACTGGGCCAGTCATTCTCTCTCAGAGCCCAACCCACCTTACAGGGTTGTTGTTGTGGGGAAAATAGGAGAAGGGAACAGTATTATTTATGTTCACTCTCATGATTTATCTATGTAGACAATAAAGGCAGGACTAAAAACAAACCTAAAAAAAATAAAAATACAGGTGTATAATTAATATAACAGTATTTGCAAACACATCAAACAGTCTGATGTATTCTGCATAACCCCCACTTTTCCTTAATCTTTCAGCTCTGATCATCCCTCTGCAAATAGGGAGATCCTAGTGATATGTCAGCCTTCAATAAGATAAAGGCATTTCTATTCTGTTTATTAAATGTTGCTGAATTCTTGAGATATTTAGTAAAGAGCAAAGAAAAAAAACCCCATAAATTATGACATGGATGTGAGAAAGAATAACAGCACAAATTTGCATGTCAAGAAGAAACATTTTACTGCTCTATTTCTGCCATTTCTTACTGGATTATTAGAAACTATGGTAAATTTATAGTCGATACTCCGTAGTTTCTCATTTAGAGGTCAAGACTAGAGTTCAAAGCTAGACTGGAGTTGACCCCATCGTCCAGGGCAGCTAAATTTGAGAGTGACATATATATTGCCTAGTCTGGAGTTCCTGTGATTTGTTGGTTGTTCTTTACTAATAATAGAAGTCAGGCTTTTGAACATTTCTTATAATGCATCCAACCTTATATCTATCTTAGATGCATTTCTCAGTCATGATTTTTTTAAAAATAAAGATGGTTCTGTCTTCCCATGCTTCTTAATTCTGTATTCCAGATTCTTCCACTCTAGGTGATACATCAATATTTTGATCTATTCCCCCATTCCTGTCCCTGTCTGAAAGTGAATTTCTGCCGGTTGGGTGTTTGCCAGCAAAGGATTCCCCCCCCCCCCCCGCCATTTCTATCATTTCTTAATCTCACTCCTGTCTCTGCCCTTGACTAAGTATTTGTTTAACATATCAAGCGCTGATTGGAATGACGTATTAAATATATATACTTTAATGTGCCCCGAGGGGGGAAAATACCCATGTAATGTTTTTGATAACAAGAGCACAACAATGATTTTAATTATTTCTGAAATGAAAAGGCATCCATAATCAGTTGTATTTTAGTTGTGACAAACTAATTTATCCCTAGTTTCAGTTCTATTGGCTGTGTAATCTTACAAAAAGATGCCATGTTTGAAACAGAAACTGAAGCAGATCTCTCTTTCACAGTCTTCTCCATGTATTTTTTCATTCCCCTTGTTTTTACCTCCCTCGCCCTCCCCCCTCTCTTACACACACACACACAAACACATACACACACACACACACATGTGCACACTCTGGCATGAGTCTAATTTTTCTGTATATTTACAATTTGAAAGATAGACCAACCTGCCAATGAATTGAATGTTGGCTAGCTGTCAAGTTTGTTCCGTACAAAATGGTTATGTTAGGCCGTGCTGACTACTGTTTAAATTATTGACCAGCATTTTTAAACTATGTGTATGCTTATCTGTTCATTTCTCATCCTTTAAGAAAAATAAACTGAACCAACAAATCACTCAAAAATAATTGTAAAACTGCTACTGATGCACTTGTCTTTGTGTGACATAAAAGAGGAGGCTAACCCAGAAAAGGTTTTGCAGATCAGATGTGTCTGCTTCCAGCACTGCACTCTTCAAATTAATCTAAAAAAGAAGTACAACAAATCTGACTGTGGGAGAGGAGATTGGTTCAAAAAGTATACTGTACAGGATTTTAGTTTTCATTTTTCCCCTCGATGATTTTCTCCCTCTCTCATTTGATTCTAATGATCATGCAAATTATTATACTGCATATGATTCCATTACAATGTTTACATTTCAAGATTCAATCCCCTGTTTTATTCTGAATCCTTCTGACCTCTCCATTGATACTTCTATAACCATAATAAAATTTTTATTTATTTGTTCCGTTGTTTGTTTATATGCTGCCCATGTCATACTTGAAAGTCATTCATAAGAGTTTCAATCCAATAATCCACTAATTTACCACCTCTCTTTTCTCTTAATTAATGCAACAAACCTTTAATTGGGAAGTTCTTCATTTTGTAGCTTATAATTCTAATAAAGGGATGGAGGTTTGCATGAAAGTCATTTCAGATCAAGCCTGCGGGGCTAGTTCTAAGCCACTTCTTTTCCAGCCAAGATTCAGAATTTTCTATTGCTTTTAAGCTAAATGTGCCATCTAACTCAGGTGAGAAGGAGCATTATTAGTTTGGGCATTATCACTTGGTACCCAAGAAAGATGCTGTTGGAATTGAAAGAAAACTTTGCAGTCAACTGCATGATGAAGTACCTATGCAGCCCTCCCAGAAGCTTTGCTGAAGAACTCTTAACTGCAACTCAGTATCTGGGCCATTACTTTCTTAATTGTACATAGTTACTTCTGCTTATTTTTCCTTGTTAAAAACTGATTTAAAACAACTGCTTAATAGCTTTGCCATTTAAAAACCATCATTTCTATCTTCTTCCTAATTTATTAATAAGCCTTCTTCCCCTCTAGAATTGCTTTTCCCTAAGCTTACTAATAGGCTGTGTTAACAAGCCTTTACTTAGATATACCTTTTGTACATATGTAAGCAGATGAACAAATGCAGAGGGAAGTTAAAGTATCTATAGCATTTATTTGGGAACAAATCTAACACATTATCCTTCTCCCACAGAAAGACCTAGTTGTGTAACAATGCTAAGTTTAAAATATTGTGAATATTTTTTATATTTCTACTGGCCTTTGGGGTAGATTTGCAAAAGGTAGAAAATATTTTATGAAGTACCTAAAATGATCAGAGGGAATACAGGCAGTTTTTGATGTAATGACGTCTTGGTTTCCATATATGAGGGTATCTTGTGCATATATGCAGAAAGGTATAGAATAATTCACCTGTTAGAAGCATTTGTGCAATTTCTGAAATTGGGAATGGGATGAGACAGCAAGGTGAAATAGTCTATCCTTGTTCACTTTGTGAGCAGACAACTGCATACTTTGGAAGCATACTTCGGATCTCCAATCATAAAAGATGTTTATGAATTAGAAACCTTGATATTCGATGAATCAGTATGCCAAAATGGAGAGAAAAGCAGGTGAAGTAGCCCTTACAGAGATTTGGGTGAATCGGACTTATGTGCCTCTATGAGTGTTGGGACCCACATATGTAAAAAGAATAGAATAGAATAGAATAGAATAGAATAGAATAGAATAGAATAGAATAGAATAGAATAGAATAGAATAGAATAGAATACTTTATTGGCCAAGTGTGATTGGACACACAAGGAATTTGTCTTGGTGTAAATACTCTCAGTATACATAAAGAAAAGGTATTCATTAAGAATCAAGAATCATAACGTACAACGCTTAATGATAGTCATAGGGTACAATCAACAATCAAATCATACTAGGAAATAGTCAAGTGGGAGGGGATGGGTGGTAAGGAGTGGTGAGAAGTTTAACAGTAATAGTAGTGTACACTTTGTAAATAACTTCTCATAGGGATTAAAAATTACCAAAATAATCAAAAGATGCAGACTGCAGTAGTTCCCCCAAAATGACAAGAGGCGAATGAGGAAGCAGAAGAAAAATTAAGCTTGTGATTAAGACACTAGACTAGAAACCAGAAAACATAAGTTCTATTCTTGCCTTGGGTATGAAAACTGACTGGGTGACTTTAGGCCAGACACACCCTCTCAGCTCGATAAACCTCACAGGGTTTTTGTTGTGAGAAAAATAGGTGGAATGAATATTAGGTGTGTTGTGTGATGGCAAAAGGCTTTTGGTGTTGCTGTTTTAGATGAATTTACTTTGCAATAAGCAAGTTATCGCTGTAGTCATCATATATTTTAAATTAGTATTAGATCACTTCATTCACATGCTGAAATGGTCACTGAAACTTTACTGGCCTGAATAATTTCCTCCAAGTGGTAAAAGCAACAAACAGGTAGTGAGGCAACTAGGATTTTCAGTGTTTATTTCTTTCAGCTAGGCAGGTGAAAAAAGATCCCTCTATGAAACATAATTATTTCTAATTGTATAATATCTAATATGATCTATATTACAATTTACTAATCATGCTTGCTTTGCGCATTGTTGATATTTACCTTTTCCGTCCTCTGAGAATATTGAAATGATTGATGCGAGTATAAGTAACTAGCTTTAGGCTACTTTTCAAATCTTCTCCCTAATAATACTATGAAAGTATTGCTGCCAGCATCTTTCCCGCGAAAAAGAGACAAAAATTATCTCTACTTCATCCATCTCAGCGTATTAACGGTTATAGTAATAAGAATGGTGTAATAAATGACTTACATTAAAAGAATCAGTAAGAAAACACAATTTCACTGGAACCAGAAGGAAAAAACACAACAAAATAAAACAAGAAGATGCTTCTATAGGCTTGCTTCATTAGGAATATTAGTAATGCAAGTTCTCTCTCTCTCCCCATTCTTAAAACTCTAGCCAAATCTTCCTCAGTGACTGTAATTCATTCTGCAATTTTCAACCAAGGCCATTAAACCTATATTCTTCTGCAGCTCTGCTTTCCTAGTAATGAAAGCCAAGATTGTCACAGGCTTCTAAGAGGATGGGTTTGCTTCATTGCTGGAACTGCAGAACATGCTTTCCAAGAGACTTCCTTGGCTTGTCCCAACTGCTTAACCAAAGTGCCTATATTTTCCCTTTCAATAGTAATTTCAGCTCTTTCTCTTAGATCACTACATTGTTTCTGTCTTCTTTTGTTCTATCAAATCGGGCATCTTTATTATGGCCTTTGACCAGCCTTTACAGTAAGAAAAAAGAAATAGTTTGGTGCAACAATTGGTTATCAGGAAAAAAAACAATAATACAATAAAACAACATATCTAATTAAAATGTTTGTATAATTGTATGACTTGATAAAGTTGCATGGCCATCTGGTACTGTAAGTATAGAGTTAGCGCCCCTTAAAAAGTAAGAAACACCATGTTCATCAGAATGACTCTCAAAATACAGAGATGATTGGGGAAATTAGAGCACATCTTGAGGCATCATTGAAAGGACACCTGAGGACATGGTCAAGAGTTCCTACCTTCATATAAAGTCCCTGTAAATAAGGTGTTCCATTAATCTTCTTGAAAAGAGTGCTAAAGGAAGAGCATCAAAATGGGTCCTAGAAAAGGACCATCTATACTTGGTTAGGGTTACAGAGAATATCCCACAGTCGGGAGGCTTGTGGCTGTCTAACATTTGGCAACTGGAGCATTGGTGATATCATTTGGCAAACAGTGTCATCAGAGGTGATATTCAGCAGGTTCTGCCCTGTTCTGGAGAACCAGTAGTGGAAATTTTGAGTGTTCAGAGAACCGGCAAATAGCACCTCTAAATGGCTCCACCCACATCTATTCTCTGCCTCCCAAGTCCCAGCTGATTGGCTGGGTCTTCTTTTGCTACCTTGCACAGGAGAATGGAGCTGGAAAGCAGGTTAGTGGGGTGTGGAGGGAATGGGGATTTTGCAATATCCTTCCCCTGCCATGCCCACTGAGCCACACCCACTGAGCCATGCCATGCCCACCAAGCCACGCCTACAGAACCGGTAATAAAAAATTTTTGAATCCCACCACTGAATGTCACCAATTCTTTCTTTTACCATTGATTTGGTCTTTTCAAACTTTAATTGGCCTGAATATTCAGCAGAGAGGCCAAGATTTCAAAGTTCCTTTACACAGATACAGTGTCAGTGAGACTGGCAAGCTGTCTGACAACAGCAAACGCCTCAGGCCTGCAGGGTCAAACATAATTCTGAATCCTGAGACTAGAATCCTGCTCCAAGCGTGAATTTTAATACTTGCAGGTTATCTTCAAGCCTGCAGCTTGCAATAGGGGTGCATTTTGGGGTACTATCCAAAGTCCTAAGGAAATGTAAATGATTTCATAAGCTCTTAGGTTTTTATATGGGTGATTCTATCCCATGCAGTAGTTGAGCAACTGTGTTATCCATAAACAACTGGGGTATAATTTTGTTCTGTTACCTATAAAATTTAGTTGTTGCTTGTGTGTTCTTTTGGGCAGTAGAAATGGCATAACTTACCTGGGTTGTTAATTTCTTACAGGCCTGCAATACTGTGCCCAAACATTTAAAACATTTGACTTGGGGATCAATTGTCCATTTGTGCCTTTGTCTTTTGCTGGAAAAAAAATATAAAACATTAGATTTATCATAGTTCATTCCTAATTGCTCCTCATTACAGTAGGATGCCAGTTTCTCAGCTCCTGCAGCATGCCTACAGAAGATAAGGAGAGAAGAACTACATCATCAGCATAGAGTAGAATAGGGAGATGTCGATCAGCTAATTTAGGCACATGGAAATCAACTCTCCTTTCATGGTTACATCTTACTCTAAGGCCAGTTTTATCAGACAGCTTTTGAATGAGGAGCAAGCATATTTTTGTCTATGGAGGATCTGATCAGAATGTCTTAGAGACTATGTCAGGGTTCTGGGTCGACAGGAAAGGTGGAGGAGTCACAGTCTAATTCTCAATATATTATTAAAAGCTTCCTTGAAATCAGTGAAAGTTCCATAGAGATCCAAATCAGAGTGGTTTGTATATTTGTCTGTCAGATATTGAAGCACTAGGCAATTGTCTGTAGTGCTTCATCCCAGTTGAAAACCTGGATGCTTGGGGTCAATTATTCCCTCATCTATGACCCAGGTTTGGAGATTGGTGAACAGGGTTGCTGGTGTAGAGTTTGTTAATGATGTTCAATAGACAAATTGGCCTATAATTAGCTACATCATTCTGATCACCCTTTTTATATCAAGGAACAATTATAGCTTTTCCCTAGTCCTTTGGAATCTTACTGTGTGGTTAATGTATGAAAAAGAAACCAAAGCAATGGCCCAACAATTTGAATTGGATTTAATTAGCTCAGGGGGGATATGGCCACTCCTGCGTACTTTACCACAGTTAAGCTGATTAATGAGATTTTTAATTTCCTTGCATGTGACTGGGGGTCACTATAGTAGTATAAATAAAGGTACATCCATCACATAGGTGCTAGCATATAGATCTCAATAAAGAGTTTGGAAATGACATACTCAGGTACTTGAGGGGATGCTACAATGCCATTGTGTAATGCTGGGAACAAATGGGAACAATTCATTATAGTATGTAAGGAAGAATTTATGGAGTTTATAGCTTTGATTAGCTGATTTTCTTCTGAGCCTGTTTTTTTTTCCTTTCTGAGCAGAGCCTTATTTTTTTTTTCCTGATCCTATAAAATTTGGATGTAGTTGGCATTCTGTGAGGCAGCATAGCATTCTAATAATGCAGATTTGGAAGCTATGCAAGATTTGTTAAATGTAGAATGCCTTTGTCTCCTGATCATGTTATTATTGCCTTTGTTGCAAAAGTTTGGAGCTTAGCTGTGAAATTGTGGCATAAAGTAGTATTCTGCTACTTTATGGGATGGTTAGGTCTGAGCATGCCCTAAAATCATTGAGATTGAAAGGTATGCACTTTCCACTGAGTGAAACACTGGGCTATATCCTATCTTCAAGGGAGCCATTCTATGTAACCCTGTAAGAGCTGCCTCCCATTGGCCATTTTAAATGTGCCTTAACTAGGTTCCTCATTAAACCTTGTCTAAATTTGCAAGTGAGCATTAGGACAAGTGGTCATTTTCAGACTTAGGTGTTATGCCAAAGTGCTTAAGGCAAGGAGCCAGGTCTCTAGAAATTATCACATAACCTATAACTAAATATCTATGGAGATTCTCAGTCATCCAGGTCATTGTTGTCCCAAAAGTGCTTTTTCAAGAGGCAACTGGCCTTTCTGTTTTTGCTTTGAAGATGTTTTGCTTCTCATCCAAGAAGCTTCCAGAAGCTTCTTCAACTCTGGAAGCTTCTCGGATGAGAAGCGAAACGTCTTTAAAAAAAAAAACAGAAAGGCCAGTTGCCTCTTGAAAAAGCACTTTTGGGACTATAGAGGATAACTTGTGAAGTGACCAAAAAGTGTATTACCTAGACAAATTACTTTGGACAAAGCCATTTAACATTTGCATGTTAAGTCTATTTACGAAAGGAAGCAAACTAAAGCTAGCTAGATTATATTTTGTATGTTTGAAGGATCTGTGCACAAACAATGGCCCGGTTACTTATTTAGGGAGACAGGCATTGAAATGTTCATGGAGACCTTCATTATAACAACTAACTCTTGTCTTGAAAATCCCCACTTATTAGTATATTGGCACCAGGAATCTTACTCAGGCAAAGAATGAGGAAATAATCAACATGGTTACAGATTTGGGTGACCTAGAAATGGAGCTGTTGAGGACGAAGATGGAAATTAATACACAGTAAAGAAAATTGGTGAAAGATTAACAAAGCTGATACATCATTCTCAAAGTAAGGTAGTAGCATAACAGACAAGTTGTACTATACTCCCTTTCACAACTTCTTCAGTGTAGAGTATATTCCCGTGAATTTACTGAAATCTCCTGTCTTCCCATGTGGCATGGCCTTGAAAGAATAATATTTGTTTTTAGGCATTTTACATTCCCTTTAAAATTTTTGTAAGGGGATTTCCAATTATGCCTATCTGTGTCTTTCACAATAGGAGTGTACCGCCATTTCAAAATTCTGGGAGGAGAGCCAAGCTTGTGAGAAAGGAAGGCATAAGCCCCAGAGTTCATAATTTCAGCCAGCAACCTACCTACACAGTAGAGTGCTCCACCAACTCCAAGGTCAGGACCAGATAAGCACAGGAGGCCTAACACCCTTGATTTAATTAAAGAGAAGATACAGACATCAGTCGACCCTATGGCAGATGAGGACGAATACTGGCTCAGTTGTTTGGCGCTCTTTCTACAGAAGAACAAACAATTATAATCTGTGCAAACTTGGAGCGTTTGAATCAACTGCTGCAACTGAGTCCATCAACACTTGATTGTCCTCTAGATGTCCTCCTGTTGAAATGCTGAGAAGTTCATTCTCTGGATGTTTAATACTCCCCCCAAAAATTAACATAACAAAGGTGTTCCAACCCCAAATCATTCAGATACATGAAGGGAACACAGAGTGTTCAATGTACACGATCTATAACTCCTCAGATGATCACCTCACGGAACAATCTACAAAGAACAGACTAGTCAAACTACAACCCCATCCCCTCTGGTTTCCCCTGTATGGATCCTGGTGGTATCCATCCAATGGCTACTCCATGTTGCACTAACATTACTTGCTGTTCCTCTTTGAAAGTAGACTCTCCACAGAAGCCCTGAATGTGGTCATCCTTCTGACTCTGATCTGGCCTTCTTTTTTCTTCCCATGGTACTTCTCTTATAGAACGCTCCGGACAACATCCATCCTCAATTGACTTTCTATCTATTCTCCCATCACTACTTTTTCCAACCCAAGTGTTGCTCCTTATGAACAATTATCTAGAGGCAACACCCCAAGCAAATTAGCAAATTAACAACAACATCCTGCTAATCTTTTCTTAGAACATAGATGGATGAGTTCTAAAGCAATCATAACCCAATTTTCTTGTGTTTCTCTCCCAATTCACTATGCTGTTTGTTTGGATTAGGAGATATTGATGTTGAGGGCATTTTCAACCACCCCCACTACTTCTCTCCTCTAGCCCCCACACTACCTAGTTTCACAGGAGACACACCTAATGCTGGAAGTAGGTGGTGGTAGTCTATGTTCTGTCTTTTAAATCTCTTGGGCCCCAAACTCCTCAGCTGTTGCTTTGCTTTATATTCTCTCCTCTCTCCTCATCAGTTTTCAGCAGGTTGAAGGTGCAATGTTGGTTTCACCAGGTCCATTTCATTGGCCTTTTTTATGCTTACTCAAGGGTCAAGTGCCCTTTCAGAGTTTGTTTTCTTGGACATCTTCCTGGGGGATGAAATATACTCAGGTTTTCATTCCTTCTGAATTTATACTTAGAGCTGTGTACAAAACAACTCAGCTAGCGCATTCTGCCCACAGCATCATTTCTCCCTTTTGATTGACGCTTGAATTACACTCTTGTCAATTGCCGCACAAAGAATTCAGCTAAAATGTCCTTACAGTCATTAACCATATAAATGCCACTGAGACTGGAATCTTTATATTGTCATCCCAACTCGTTTTTCTCAATTGTTTGAGATGCCATGTGTCTTCCACCAGAAACAATCTTTCTTTTTAAGTAAAGAAAACTTACTTTTCTTGTCTTGACTGCTGATTGAGACTTCTAGCTAAAATAAAATGTATCTGACACTGTCCTGAATGTTGTATAAGAGGCTTTGAAAGACCACAAAGACATTGTTTTGACACTATTGGGATTAATGTGTCATTTTTTTGAGTTCCGTTCAAATGGATTGTATAAATCCTTCTCAAGTATCATTTATTACACTAAGCAAGAAAACCAACCAGAAGATTCGACACATTTCCTGATGTGTATGTACCATTTTTTTAAAGTGATATTTTTGTGTGTGACATTTTGTAGCAGAAAGAAACTTTTAAAAATGAAAATCATCCCCAATATGTACAAAAGTTCTTATGTAGAAAAATGTATCAATTGTTTCCTTTTTTGTAAGACATTTTAAAAAATCAGTAAAGCAGCAAACTTGTTTATCCAGATTTCACTGGCCTACACATTGAAAAATCTTAAGGTTCAAATCCTGCCTCTGCTATAAAAATCACTAAAAATTCTCAGAGAAAGAAACTGGTTGCCAAACATAAATCTTTTGAGAATTTGTGTGCATTTTCAGAAGAAAACATATATCCTTTTCTTTCTTTTTTTCATTTCATTATTGAATGTTTATTGTCTTAGGTCTACCAGAACCAAAGAAAGAATCTGTATTTCAGGGACTAGGAATGGAAGAAGGATTTTATACATCAAAAGATTTCCTACCACTGGTGTCTATGGCAAGTAAACCAGGTATATATGCTATGTTATTTTGTTTTGTTATGTTCTGTATATGCAATATTTATATGTCATATTTTATGTGATAGATGTGATACATTGCATAGTGCATTAAGATACATTCTAATTCGAAAACAATTAAAATAATGAGTATTGGAAAGAAACATAATATAACCAAGGCAAAGAATCAGATTTCATTGTAGTTCAATAGCACATAGTTCAATTTTTCTCTATCATTGCCAAATGTATTGAGTTTTTAACTAACATCATCCCCAGTTAATTCATGTGCAGGAAAACTGAAACATGTTTTTTAAAAATAGGTTTCAATTCAATTTGATGAAAATGAATTTGTTATTAAAATTTATTTCAAAGAAGACAGTAATTTTGATGAACTTTTCGTCATACCACTTAATAAAGCCTTGGTAACACCTTACTTGGAATATTGCATCTAGTTTTTGTTGCCACAATATAAAAAAAGATGTTGAGACTCTAGAAAGAGTATAGAGAAGAGCAATTAAGATGATTAGGGAACTAGAGGCTAAAATATATAAATAAGTTCAGTATGTCTAGTTTAATAAAAAAAGGACTAAGGATGACATAACAGTCTTGCAATATTTAAGGGGCTGCCACAAAGAAGAGGGAGTCAAGCTATTCTCCAAAGCACCTGAAGGCAGAACAAGATGTAATGGAAGGAAACTAATCAAGGAGAGAACCAAATATAAAAGAAATAAGGAGAAATTTGCTGTCAGAACAATTAATCAGTGTGTTGTGGTTAGCCGGCAGCAGGTGCGGACGGCTGAGGAGAGTGAGGACTCAGATGAGGGGCCAGGACCATTAGGGAGTGTACTGTTGCCTTCAGAGATTGTGGGGGCTGGCAGCAGCGACGAGGAGGTTCCCGAGGAGCCTGTGCCAAGTGCTTGTGCATGCAGGGCTGTTCATAGGAAAGAACAGCCGCAGCAGCACGGGCGACTCGGGAGTAAGGCTGCAAGGTAATGGCCCCTCCTTCAAGAAGATAAAAGCCAGCTATGAATCAGATGTTCTTTGTAGGAAGCAAAGACTTCCTGTTTTGAAGCTCCAGCCTTGTGGACATTGCAGTATCTTAAGTTTGAAGACTCTTGTGTTGTGAAATATTTCTCATCTGTGATTCTTGGCAGCCTCGCACAGTTTCAAAGTATCAAAGTTTGCAGCAGCCTTTTAACCAGGGATACATAAGAATCATTAAAAGGTTTCTGTTCTCTTTAGTTCGTGCTTGTTTTATTGGAAAAGGGTTTGGGTCAGAACACATGGAACGGCTTGACTTCAGAAGCTGTGGGTGCACTATAATTGGAGACTTTTAAGAAGAGATTGGACAATCATTGTCTGAAATGGTATTCTCTTACTTGAGCAGGGGGTTGGACTAGAAGACCCCCACCAAGGTCCCTTCCAACTCTGTTATCCTGTTATTTCATAGAATGTGGTTTCTTTCACTTACTCAGTTAAGTAGTGAGAAGGAATGACTTGTCTTTCATTCTGTAGTTCTTTTTCCAACAAGCTGCAGCATCTCTGGTTGTTTACATAACAATAACAGTCTGGTAGAGTTGGAAAGGAATAGAGAAGTATTGAAAGCCACCATTTTCTTCTTCTTTTATTTTCTTCCTTCCTCAACATTTTCAGGAACTTTCTTTAAAATTCAGGAACTTTCTTTAAAATTCCTATTTTCTTTCTGTATTTATTCACTCAGTGAGCTTGTTGCCTGAGACTACCTTATATTCCTCTTACAATCTCTGTTTACTCAGCAAGAAGGAATCATCCCATCACCTACAATGGGCAATCGGCTCTCAAGGCATCTCTTGCAAACAGTATCTATTCAGGAGGTAGCCTTTCACCATTCATAACTCAGTAGAGCTTCCTTGTGATCATATAGGAACTCACTATTAAAATAGTTCAGTACATATGAACAAGAACAATCACAGGAAAGTTAGATTTCCAATAGGTATTCCCTTTTTCCATAGGTTAGTAACTATCATGTAGAACCAGTAGATCAGCAATAAAGGCCATTCAATGTATTTCTTTGGAACCATTATAGATTTGTTATGGCTCTGGTCTTAATATAGATGTACCCGGACAGATTTTTGCATGATTGTCAGGCCAATCTTTTTATGTAGTTATTTAAAATACTTCTATGGCCATCTATTTTATAGTTGTCAGTCCAGGCTGATTAACCTGATTTAAATATTATATTTGTCCTTTTGGATGCTGGCAAAAACCTATTCCGTTTGGTAGTGATCTTATGTAGTAATGTATATAAATTATTCACCTTATGAATAACTACATGACTACATGAAAAATATTTACCATAGCTGTTACAGTGATGAGCTAAAATGTACACTGGCATATACTGCACTATTCCAACAATGCTGAGTGATTTACATGTATAGTATATATTGTTTTAATTGACTGTAGGTATGATAGAAGAAAAGATCCAGAAATATTTTACCTCTTCCCCGCCCAAAAAAAAGTGCCTCCCAGATAAAATTAGGAAATATTTAGCATATACAAATCCAATGTTCATATAGATAAATGTGGCTATAATATAAGAGTATCCAGTGCAGGGATCCCTAACCCTCAGACCCTGTTAGGAACTGGACGGTAAATGAGTGAGCAAAACCTCATCTGAATATGCACACGCATATTCACACACACCCAAGTCTGTGGAAGAATGGTACCCCATGAAAGCAGTTTCTGGTGCTAGAAAGATTGGGAGCCAATGATCCAGAGATGATTTTGGAGTAAATTTTACTTCTTTTTTTACCTTATATAGAGTCAGCTTAATGTTTTTCTGTTCTTAAAATGGTATTTGAGGTTCTAAACTCTTGCTGTGAAAATTCATGACTGGCAGAGCACAAAGTGAAGAATTATAGACTATTGATATGGTTAAAAACATATTCTTACGAAGAAAAATATCTTAGGTGTCTTCAGGCTATAGGTGTGTGTTATTTATGTTATCATTTCAAAAATTACAGTAATCTAATTTTCCGGTGCAGTAGTAAACATAAGCTTATTTATAAGTTTTAATTTTTTTTCTACATCATACTTTTTTAAAATAAAAGAATTGAGAAATTAATCTGGAACAGTTAGAACTACATCAAAAACCACAATAATCTTTTGATTGAGTTGTAAACATGAAGATCATAGATTGCTGAACAACCTTGTTCACATTCAGGCTGTGACCGTGGACATTTTATACTAAGCTTTATCTCCATTGTGTCTTGAACTGCCAACTTTCTGGTTGCACCAGTTCTTGCCAACCTAGCAATTCGAAAACATGCAAATGTAAGTAGATAAGCAAGTACCACTTCAAGTGGGAAGGTAATAGCATTCCCTGTGCCTTCGGTATATAAATCATCCTGGCCACATGACCACAGTCTTCAGACAACCCTGGCTCCCTTGCCCAGGAAAGGGAGATGAGTTCCACTCCCTAGAGTCAGGCATGACTGGACAAGGGAATCCTTTCCCTTTTTATTTTAGTCTGCATTGCACACAGAATCATACTTTTAAGGATTTAAGGGTTTATATCCCATTGGTCTTCTGTTCAGAACACTTTATTAACATAATACAGTGGTTTAGGGAAATGTTTCATAAGAAAGAACTATATGGTTAAGTACCCCAGATGTGTGCTAAAAGTCTCCACTGGTTAGAACGAAAAAATCTGTGTTTAACCTGTTTTCTGTTTCCACAGCGATCAACCAGGTATCTTTCAGAAGCCCACAGATAGAGTAACTTTGCATGCCTTCAACAATTGTTATAAGTGATTTCATCCTTTGTGTATAACAATGTGGTATTTCCCTTGAACTGACTAATATGAACATTCTGGGGTGATGCATCTGGGGTGATCGAGAAGTTCCAGAATAGGAAGTGATACTTCTGGCACAATCTGGCTCTAAAATGGGGAATAGATGTTCAGTTTTCCTTAGGCCTGCAAAATAATTTTTAGATTAAGGTGTTGCTATGAATAGTGGATACCAGTAGGGTTTTCTTCCTTGAATTTCTCTAATTCCCTTTTAAATGTTGTCTAAATTGGTGCTGAAACAACATGAATTATGAGACTATTTAAGATAAAATTTGAAAGAGAAACCGGTGTTGTCAAAGATAGATTCTAGTGACAGACAGAACATCTTGTAAAATGGATTTTTTTTTCCTTTTTCATTCTTCAAATAATTTTGATGCTGACAAGAGAGGAGTCAAAGGCTTAATTTTTTTTGAACACCACAACAGTTGCATTCAATCTGACAAAGCTGTACAATTTCTTCTTGTTGTTGTTTCCAAGTGCATTATACTTTATTTCCTGCCAAGACAGGAAGGCAGTGCTTCCAAAGGTACTGACTATGAAGTTACATGTATGAGCATATCTTAAAAGAGGGAATAAAACTCTCAATGAAGCGGAATAATTTGATAGTGACTCTCCATGCTTGGAAACGGCAAGATGCAATTTTACACTGCTTCGAGTACAAGTGTCGTTTGAGCTGTCATGCAGAAATAGTTTTTTCTCTCTCTCTCTCTCTCCTTGAAAATGGGGTTTTCCTTTCATCATTCAGGAATATGCGGCTGTCGCTCTTCATTGCCATCAATACAGGGAACCGTGATTGTTCTTGGAGCAGGCGATACCGCCTTTGATTGTGCAACATCAGCTTTGCGCTGTGGAGCTCGACGTGTTTTTGTGGTCTTCAGGAAAGGATTTACTAATATACGGGCTGTCCCAGAAGAGGTAAATTTCACAATATTGCAATGAGGGACATATTAATAAAAATACTTTATTAAGTTACGCAGGCTGATTTATTATCATTATTATTTTGCACACAGTCTGCGCAACATCTCCACGATTTTAGAAATAGAAAGAAACAAAGCAAAAAAAAAAAAAAGCTAAATAACAGCTGTTGCAAAAAAAAAGGCTGGAATGAGGGCTGGCCTACATAGTGGAATGAGAGCTGGCCTACACAGTGGAATGAGGGCTGGCCTACACAGTGGAATGAGAGCTGGCCTACACAGTGGAATGAGGGCTGGCCTACACAGTGGAATGAGAGCTGGCCTACAAACAAAGGCACCTTCAGTGCTTGTTCCTTGTCCTGATCCTTCTTTCATGCCATTTATTTCATGTGTAGAAACAAAAAGAAGAAATGTTGAGAGGAGTTGGAACAATCCAGTCCTAAACCCCTGGAATATATCTCACTTCATCTTTTCTATACGTAGCCTTTGGAAAACCAGACTCAGAAAATGTTGTTCATGTTGATTCTTTCACAGACATAAACACAAAAAATTACACCATTTGTCATCATATACCACAATTTCATATCATATATTGATGAATATATAGAATAAACTACCCATTTGACATCTGTGGATAGGTATGTACTTGAACACATAAAGGCAGAGCTTAATATTGAAATTGACCAGAACTTATTATTTAAGTCCTTCAACATACTTTTATTATTTTTTATTGTTGGACTATCCTGGTAAGGCTGTTCAGACTGTTTGATCAGTGAATTTTCACAGATTTTGATCTGATCAGTAGTAGAATAATTTAATGTGTGGGCTGAAGCAAATATGTAGTTTGGCATCCTTGTTTTTTCTTTCCAAAATTTCTTAGCTTTTTGAAGTTTACTAAAGTGTATAAGAGTGTGCTTTAGAAAAAAAAATATGAATGAAGAAAGTGATACTGATCAAACCTGAATCATCCATCATGATAATGACAGTCCATTCTAGAGTTACCGTAATTCACCTTGTTACCTATCAGAACAGAAACACTCTTTAAATATAAAGAAACTACACTGTAATTGATATTATGAAAGTGCCCAGTTTCCTGAATACATCAAAGTTTAGCAAAGCCCTGTAAGTCAAGGCTCATGAACCAAATAAATCGGTGGTTTTAGACAATCCTGGTAATCCTCAACATATGACCACAATTGAGCCCAAAATTTCTGTTTTTAAGTCAGTGTGAAAAATAGTCATGTCACTTTTTTCAGTGCTGTTGTAATTTGGAACATTCAATAAATGAGCTGTTGTAAGTCAAGGTTTACCTGTACATATATTATTTATTTTTATTTGTCAAATTATATCCTACGTTCCCTCCAGAGTTCAGGATAGTATATATCACATTTTCTTCTTTGATTTCACCCTGAATTTGGGGAGATAGGTCTGAAGAAGAATCCAAAGTCACTGATAATATGTACTGAAGATCAACCAGAAATTGTAGATCTTTGTGTGAGATAATAGATACCTTTAGAGATTAAAATATTGAATTTAGGAGTAAAATGCAAATATTTCAAACTATAACTTAATTTGGAATTAAATATGCAGTTTCTGTAAACATCTATATATACTGAGCTGCTGATTGGCAGTTTATAATAATTTGTCTTATCATGAAAGCTTTTTAGTTTCAGTTTTAATTATTGCAATGTGATCGAGTGTCTTTGCTGTAATTTATATGCTACATACCATGAAGTACTGCATAATTTACATTAATGAGACTGAATATGCCCCAGCTAGAAAATATATGGGGAAATAGCCCACTCCCTTCAGTAATAGATACACAAGGGAGAGAAAGGTAACTTAAAGAAAGAAATAAGATTTCAAGATACACAGTTCATATTTTGAAGTGTTTGTCATAGTATTAAAATTTAGGGAAAGATTATTTGGAGCAAGTATAATAAATACATTAATTAATTCAGTACCACTCTAATTACATCCCACTGGTCTTCATCTATATAACTTTCCTATCGCAGGAGAATAAATATTGTTCGAAAATGACAAACTTTCCCCTAAAATATTAACTAACTCTAGTTTCTCCCCTCTCCCTCTGTCTCTCTCTCTCTCTCTCTCTCTCTCCCTCTCATCTATACACACACACACACACACACACACACACACACACAAACACACATAATATAACCAATACCTTCTACAAATATTCCTCTACAAACAGTTCAGTCAGCAAAATCAAATAATTCCACATATGGAATATGACTGAATACAACTTTTATGCATGTCATGGACAAAACCATTAGAGCATGACACCTTTAACTATGAGTATCCTAATTGCTATTGTGATTATATATCACCCTTTCTACTAGCACAGTTATAACTTCCACCTCACAAGTGAAAAGAAACACACTGAGCCACAGTTTTTTTTTCTATGAATAGATTTTAAGTTCCATACCCAATTTGTCATCATCTTTTCTTTTTCTTTTTTGTTACATGCCCATTTTTTCCCCCTGAAAACTTTTCTATGCTGTGTTAACACTGAAATAATTAGCAACTTGTATGTTTGCAACAAAATGCTTTCCCGGTTGCCAGGCCTTTCACAGCACGCCAGATGAGAAAACATTATGAAAGAAAAATAATTGGTTGCTTAGAGAGATGGAGGAAAGGGGGGAACTGACTTTGTTTCTTTATCTTATCTGTGTTGCTTGGCAGGGATCACCATCCTTCCTATTCCCTTTTCTTCTTCATTAATATGGAGAGCAGAGAGCTGGGCAGGCAGTTGCTGGAAGTAACTGGTAGGAAAATGCTAACAGCCTTTAGTTTGCCCCTATTCAATGTTTATAATCCCAGCTGGCCAAAATAACATTACTGCCTTAAGCAGAGATGAAGACTGTCTTCCCTCTATAAATCACATGATGAAACCAAGTCTGAACCCCGAGGCTTCTCAAATTACCCAGAATTGGGTAAAAGTGATTTTTCTTTAGATAATGACCCAATCACAACAGCAACATTTAAACTGATTCAAATTGTTTTGCCTATGTTAGGTAAAAAGAACTTCCTGACGAGTGGTTTTGGGCAAGGAAAGAAAAAGTACTGGTTTAAACTATCTTGTTTATTTATTAGCTAAATTTATGTAGCCCACCCATCTCACTACCATGACTTTGGACAGCTTATAAATACAAAAACACTCAGAAAAATAGAATCACAAAAATCATTCAAAACAATGCAACTATTAAAAACCATAAACCCATAATCTGTGAGACAGCACCATTCCCTTTTTACAACCCTGTAGTCCCTTAATTTGGGATAGAGTCAGTGCAGTTTATGGGTCAAATGCCCTTCCTAATGCCTACTGGGATTTCGCAACAGATATTTTTTCTTTGTCCTATAAGAGAGAAACATCAGCCACTACCTGGAATTGAACTCTCAACTATTTAAGTAGGAGGTGAGTGTCTTTACCACTAGGCCAATATGCCGCTCTTTTGTCATAGTGGATGCAACCTTATTAATTCAAAATATGTATATATTAATTCAAAATATTTTGAAAGAATAAAATCAGCAAAAGTAGTTAGAAGTTCTTATCTTTCAAATACAAAGAGAAAATGAATGACCAAAATAGTTCTGTCCATTTTTTTTGTCATTAAAGGCCTTACCATTTTTCACTGAAATGTAAAATGTAAATTTTGAGATTTGGACACCTCAGCCAATAGCTCATAATGGAATTCATCTACACATACTTAATTTTTCTAGCATTGATTGGATAGTTTTCTTTTAATTCATTATTTTTTAGTAATGAAGTATAACAATCATTTTTCATATGATCAAACTATTCACTCATAGTTTAAAAGTTAAAAGTCTTTTAACAGATGTTAATAACTAAAAGAAATCACCACTCCTCCTGAAAACTGATTGGCACATATTATTTGTTTTCATTTAATCAAATATAACATTATTAATGTTATAGTGTCAGAATTTATAGAAAAAATGCAAGGAAAAATTATAAGACTTAAAATTATATATTAAATATTTTTCTATAAATTATACATACTTTTATTTTTGTTTTCCAGATGGAGCTTGCAAAGGAAGAAAAGTGTGAATTCCTACCTTTTCTTTCTCCTCAGAAGGTTGTAATAAAAGGAGGAAAAATTGTTGCTATGGAATTTCTTCGGACTGAACAAGATGAGGATGGAAATTGGAATGAAGACAAGGAGCAAACTGTCCGTCTGAGAGCAGATATAGTGATTAGTGCCTTCGGTTCAACCTTAACTGATCCCAAAGGTATTTCTCAGTCACAAGGTTTATGAATCAGCCAGTCAAGTATGTAACATTCTAGAGCAGTGGTCGTCAACCGGTGGGCCATTTTGGTGGGCCGCAGAGAAATCTTATCCCCAGAGCACTCCTCCAAAACAATTAATCCATGCTGCGCAGAAACACAAGTCTGCACTGCCCATATGGCCCATGGGAACCTTCCCTGCCCACTCACTCCTTACACAGCAAACTTGCCTGCTAAATTTCTATTTTTCCTTTTATCGACCATCATCTGTTCTGCTGTGCCGGGAGATTTAGATTAACTAGGAAGCAGAAAATGGTTGGATCTCTGGCTCTGCTTTTAAGCACAGCCGAACCTCCCTTAGGACTGAAGGTTTGCTTGCAAGCAAATTCAGTGCAGACTCACAGCAAGCAAATTTGAGAGACTGAGCTAGCCGATGGCAGATAGATAGATTTCTGAATGATTCTGTGAGCAACTCAATCTGCCTGCTTTGCCTGATTTTGGGTAAAAGTTGCTCTTTGTTTTATATAAAAAATTCAATATTTACATACATGGTGTGTTGTGAGTTTATTTTGTGAGTTTGCTTGCTAGGAAATTTTATGTGACAGACTGAGCTAGCCAATGGCAGATAGATAAATTTCTGAATGAATCTGTAATTCTCTGAGCAATTCAATCTGCCTGCCTGCTTTGCCTAATTTTGGGTAAAAGTTGCTCTTTTTTTATAAAAAATTAAATATTTATATAAATATTTATATTTACATACAAGCCATGCCCAGCCAGTCACATGACCACCAAGCCACATCCACAAATTAAGCCACACCCACAGAACCAGTTAGTGGAACCTGGGATCTAAAATTATGAGTTTGGTGGTCCCTGAGGTCCAAAAGGTTGACGACCCCTGTTCTAGAGCAGGGCTGTCAAATTCCTCGTCTGCGGGCCAGATGCGTCGCACACTGGCCACACCCACACTGGCCACGCCTATGCCCATTTTAGCAAAGGAGACAAAAGTCCTGGTTTGTCATGTGATACCACCGTGATGACATGAGTTTGACACTCCTATTCTAGAGGGAAAGTTAAGCCTACAGGTAGTCCCCAACTTCCAGTTGGTAGCTTAGTGAATATTTGAATTTATGATAGATCTCCTTATGGAGCTGCTTATGAACCATTTTCAAAGTTACAACTGCTGCATCCTCCACAGTCACCTGATTGGACACATTTGGCAACCAGCTCACTTTATGGCTGGTTGCATCCCACAATCACATGATCACAGTTTGCTATGCTTTTTTTTTTAACAAATTTTATTAATTTTTTAAAAACAATACACAAACAAACAAAACATAGGATATAGTAACATAAAATATCTTTTCGCAAAAACAAATAAAACATCTTATTTAAAAAAGATAATTCCAAATTATCATATTTCTATACAAACACAATTTAATATGTATATTTATCTTATCTGTTCAACTTCATATCTTTTCCCAACTTCTCTTTATTGCTCCCTTTCCTTCTATTTAATTGTATTTCTTTTGCCTTAAATTATATATATTCATTGTATATAGTTTCATTAGTTCTCTTCCAGCATCCTTTCAAACATAGACAAACATTACACAAAACATAAATACATAAAACTTCTTTTTGGAAAGTGGCTTACCCCAGGTTAGATCTTTTTGTACAGACATAAATCAAATTCGTGCTCACTTAATATGCTATTTCATATCTTATTTAACATTCTATATTTTCTATATATTTTCTCTCTCCTATTCACTCTTTTAATTCTATTTTATTTATTTCATCTCAATTTAAATAATTATACTTGCATCTTTTGTCCGTTCTCTTTCAATCATCTATTTATCCTTTATTTCTAATACAATATTTCTCCTGTAAACACTGGCTGAAGTATGACAACTTGTTATCTTTCCCCTAAATTTAACACTTAAAATAATACATACTTTCCATACTGATTCTGCTTCGTACATTCTAAGTACTACATTTCAAAATAATAAAACAAGCAAATAATATTAAATTTAATAAGTAGTAATAAAACCAGAAAAGGAATATTGAGTTTATAATATAATAAGAACAATGTTTCATAGGAAATTAAACTCTATTATTAAATCTTAAACATTTTCATAGCTTCCCTTTAAGGCATTATTAACTCATGTAATATTTTAATTTTCTAACTCAGTTTCAAATACTAATATCTACAATCTTACGTACTTTTGCAGAATCATTTTTATAAAATTATATCTTACCCCTTATCTCTAAAAAAAACCCTGTTTTTTAACATCTTGTTTAAAACCTTTATGACTTCTCTTTCCTTTTTCCCTTCCTTTCTTATCAATTCTAGCTTTTTGACCCCCCCATCTCTCAAATTTCACTCTCTTAATCTTCCCTCTCTGTTGTATGTCTCTTTTCTGTTGCTTTCTGACATCATATCGATTTTTCCTCTTATTTTTCTTTTTCTTGGTTGCTTTTTAAAGTCCTGAATTCACCATTTCCTTGCCCCCCTTTCGCTTTTCTTCCTCCACTAAGAGTATTTGTCCATTAAAGATGGCTTCTTCTTCTTCATCCCTTCCTTCCTGTCATTGTTGTATTTCTTGATAGGTAGAAATTGCCATTCCTAAAAAGTGGAAAATAGATCCAAAAGAGCCCTTGCCTTCTTGTTCCTCTTCTTTCAATTTTTGAAATTCCATTTGTAATTCTTCAAAAGATAATGCCATTTTTTTTAAAACAACCCAAATACCTTTAATCTTTCAAGAAATAGTTCACAAAAATCCCGAAGTCACAAAGCAAACCAAATCAGAGCAAACAGTTTCATTTAGCAGTTTCTTCTTTCTATATTTTCTCTTCCTAGGGTAGAATTCAAATACACAGTTCCAAAGTAGTCTTCTAGAAGTTGTAATATCTTTTATTTCTGATCTTATAAACTCAAAGCAGTCTCCTTCAGTACAATTTTAAAATAAGTCTTTACCTCTTCCCTTCCACTTATAGCAAATAAAAAGAATTTTAGGTTTTTAATTCCAGTGTCCAGAAATCCTTTATCCCCTTGGCTTTAAATTTCAAGTTAGATTACCTTCTATGCCCAAGCAGGTTTTCCAGATTTCCATCTGCTCTTTCTGTGGGAAAGGAGAGTGAAAGAAAATAACTTTCCCTTTCCAGTTTTCTTCCGCCGCTTTTGCAATCTTCTCTGGGAGACAATGTATCCTTCAAACAATTTAGTTTCCAGGGTGTTTAGAAGTTTCTTGTTGTCCCGGTTCAGCCAAAACTTTCGCTTTCTCCTATTTCCTCCTGCATGAATCTTACCCGGCTGCATGCTTCTTTGTGGTGGCCATTGCTGACCGCCGCTCCAACTCCTTGGGAAAAAGGGGTTTTGCCGGCTGAGGAGGGGGTTTGCGATACCCCCAAACCCCAATCCGGATCCCCTCTCTCTTTGGTTGCCTCTACGGGGCAACCATATCCTCCAGATCCATCTGGATCGGAGGCACCTCAGCAGCGAGCGCTGCAGGAATCACGGAGAGTTGCGGATTCTTGCTGCCGCCGAAGCCTTGCAAAACCGGAAGCCCACAGTTTGCTATGCTTTTTACTGGTTTCTGGGTTTATTTCCATAAAAAAAAATCCCCATAAAGCAAAATGAATTCACTTAACAACCAGTGTTTGCTTAATGACCATCCCAAAAATGTCAAAAAAAATGTGTCTGGTTCTGTGATGGCTCAGTTTACAACTTCAAGACTTATAATTGTAATTCTGGGCTCAATTGTAGTCCTGAGTTGAGAATTACCTGTGTATACTCTTTTGTTCATTGCATAAAAGACACTTAATTAGAGGGATTGTCCCCTGATGTGTATTTCATTTATTAAAGCCAAATGTAGGAACATCTGAAATGAACACATTTCAAAAAGCTAAAAATATATACGCGAAAGACTACCACTTTCTAAAGTAGCCAATAGTTTTTGTTACTTTATTCATGGATAGCATACTTACTGTGTTATCACCTTCAATAATCTTATATGGAAGACTAAGAAATTCCACTTATCTCAGTGAACTTTGCTTCAAACTGAGATGTAGATATCACCAGCTTCTTTATTCTTTTTATTTTATTACATTTGAATCCTGTCTTTTCTCTGGGAACTTGAGGTAAAATAATTTATCTTTTAATTTTACCGTCACCACAACAGTCCTATGATATAACAGTCTCAAAATCTTTCAGTGAGTTCCTTACGCAAAGAGTGTCTTGAACATAGGTATTCTTAAATGAAAACCAAGACCTCAGTTGTTAGATTATAGCAGGGGTCCCCAAATTGTGAAGGCTGAGGAATTGTGGGAGTTGAAGTCCACAAGTCTTAAAGTTGCCAAGTTTGGAGACCTCTGGATTATACTATACTGTCTCTGGCTGGATCTACTTGATTTGCAGTGGATCAAAGCTGTGTACTGGCATCACTGCAATAAGCTTCATTTATCAAAAAATGGGCAGGGAACTTTTTTATTTTTAACTTCTAATTCCCATCAATCAGTAATGATAAGAAATTATGGGAATTACATTCCAAGCACACCTGGAGGGCCATATGTAGGTTGCCTGTATTTCTGAATATCACAGTATTATGGTATTTGCTCAGAAAAGCCCCTGCCAGAGAGGTTCTAGATCTGGAAGCTGAAAGGGACAAAAAGAACTCCTCTGTAACCTGTGATTTTTATCTTATTAAGTGAAATATACAATGGCAACTGATTGGGATAATTAGAGTCATGCTCTCTGTCAGCAAAAAGGACAATAAACCTGAATCCCACATACAAATGGAAATTCTTTGGGAGACCTACATAGTATACTCATCTGTAATCATTTTCCTATGCTCTTTCAGAATAAACAAACATTAAATCAAATGGATTTTTCATTTGGTTTGTTTTTATCAAGCAATGAATGCACAGCTCTAATGCTGAAAATGGTGGACCTTTAGAGTGATGTAATATGGCTCTTTTTTCCTTTCCTTTCTTCTCTTTTTACATTTTGCTTCCAGATGCCCCAATATTTTTTTGTTT